ATAACTAATCTTGATGCACCCACTTCTATTTCACTTTGATTGTTTACATAAAAGGCTGAACAACTCTCAAGAGATTTACTTGGACAAATTAATATTTTCTCCAACAGATCATTTATTTCTTTGACACAATATTCAAGTAATTCTTTATTCATTTGGATTGGTTTTTATTTTGTGGGGTTTCTTGATTCATTAAAATAAAAAATATATGATAAGGAAATGATATCTTTCTCTCTATTCCAAAATGCATTTGGGATAGCAGAACATATTTTTGATTCAATTCGTTTTTTAATTTGTTTCTTTTTCCCTTGATTTTTATGTTCTTGGATTTGCTCTTCAATTAGTTTATATTTAATCTCTTCTTTGAGAAACTTGATATGTTGTTTTTTTATATATATATAATTAAATATTATTAATTATTTTTGAGATTGAAATTTGTTTGGGAGCATTCACATCTTTATATGAAGGAGGATTAGTAAATTTGAAAATAATTCACATCTTTATATGAGCTTTTGAAAGTTTATATCGTATATCTAATTTCCTTCCACTAACTCCATATAGTCACTTAGTGGTCTTTTCAAAATATTTTGTATGAATTAATCTTTCACTAATACAAATTTGATCAGCTCCAGAGTCAATATGGACTCGAGATTTTAGCTTGAATTCTTTGTTTAGTATAATTATCATTTGACAATACCATTTTTTAAGTTGGATTCTATTGATTAAATTGACTTCTTTTTCTTCGGATTGAATTTTTCTTCTTCTTCCGAGTGAGATTCTTCTTATTCTATTTCTAATTTACTTGTTGTATGAATATTATTTTCTAAAGATTTTGTCTTTAGAATAACTTCCATTTTTACATCTTTCATCTGATGTTCAAACTTTGATATTAGATTTTTCATTTCATTGATTTCTGATCTCAAATTAGAACTTGTAACTTTGGATGTGAATTCTTGTTTAAATCTATTCATTAGTTGAGATATATTAAATTGTTCTCTTGGTTGTTCTTGTGGTGNAAATATCTTTGTCATTACTAAAGCTGGAAGAATTGGAGCTTTCTTCAAAATCTGAATCTACTTGATTTTGACATATTTGTTCATAATCGGATTCTGAATTTGCTTCAGAACTAGAGGTAATCAAATTTTAAAGTTCATTCTTTACCTCTTCATCTATTTGGAGATTGTTTATTTTTCCTTTCATGGGACACTTGTTAGAATAATTATCTGTTTGTTTGCATTTCCAACAAGTAATATTTTTGTTAGATTTTTAAAATTTTCTTTTATAAAATTTCATTTTTTGAGGCTTTTGGTATTTTTCATCTCTTTGATAAAATATTTTTCTGTAATATTTTCGATAAGATTTAGATTATTTTTTGTGTTTTGAAGGAGCTATGAGGTTTTCGAAAATATATTGTTGATAAAATGATTCGAGTTTTCGTCCTCTCTCGGTTCTTTCACTTTTGAGTTTTGATTTGAGTTCCATGTCATTGCATAATGACAATCCTTCTTTAGTGATGTAATTTATAATTTCACCATAAATTAGGGAGCCATATGGAATCGTATCCTTATTTTTATCTTTATTGCAGTTCTTGCTCGTTCAGCAAAAAATTTTGGAAGTCGAGAAATAAATCTTCTTTTCCAAAATGATTGAAAACAATATTCCCTAAGCAGAACTTTGGTGAGGAAGATATCTTTATATTATCTAAAATCATGAAGTTTTGGGCAAGCTAGATTCATTAAGATTTTTGATGATCCTTTTTTGTAATGAAGTAGGGCTTCCAATAAAATGCTTTATAACAGCAAACAAAAATGTTAATACCCTGTCATTTTGTCCATATATACTTCATCGCGTTCGTTGTCGTAATTAGTCCATAAATTTTTAGTTGACTCGAAAGGCCAAGTAAAATATTGCGTTTCTTCAAAAATAAATCGGCAGAAATAAGCCGAATGGCACAACAATATTTTCAATGACTTGAATAACCGATATTCAGTCATTTCGTCAATATTCCATTCTATTATCTCATCTCCATTATAAGGGATTCGAGGTTTCCTTTTTTCCTCGTAATCAGAAAAGGAAGATCTTGGGTAAAAATTAGATATTTTTGAATTTTGACCTCTTAATTTTTTAATTTGAGGGGGTTTTTTTTTTTTTCCTTCTAGAAATTGATTCTCTAGTTCTTCAATTGAGTCAACTA